CATACTCGTACATTGATGACAACATCAAATGCTAAAAAGTATTTATACCTTTTGTTACTCTCTTTTATCTATGCGTTTAAACCTTGTCCGCATATTTCGTATAATTTATTGAACTGAAATTTTGACGTTGAAAATAAAGCCAAAACGCGTTTTAATTTTAGCTCAGAGCAATCTCCTCTCAAAACTACGTTCGATGAATTTTAATTTGAAGATTTTTAAAATTTTTTCTCTTTAAATGAATATTTTTTTTATTTTAACTACGACTCGCTTGAACGTTTTGCTTACTAACCTCCAGATTTCATTAATATGAATCATTGTTATTTTCGATTAAATTTTTCAATTCTGTCTCTAATTTATCTCAAATATTGATAAAAAAAAAAAAAAAAACACTAAAAACAAATTGAAAATCTACTCAATAAATATAAAGCAGACGTTTTTGAAATTTATTTAAAAAAGCAGTTGTGGCATGAGGAACCAGAAGACAGAACGGCGCTTTGGTGACATCATCACATTTTATTACACCAAATTAACTGTTCCAAAGGTGAAAATTAAATTATATATGTTATAAAAATAGGTGAATTTTAAATAAATAGGTCAGATACTTGTATATAATTTTAATGATTTAAATTATTTATTTCCCCTAATATGCTAGCTTAGTATTTATAGATACATAAGCGTAATATGTATGTAAATTGATTTTGTTGTATAAAAAATAATAATATATATTTTTTTATTAATGTACTACAAAAAAAAATTAAATAAATTATTTCAAAATATAATTTGGAATAGTCTCGTAACCATGTAGTATAACAAACAAGACTCAAGACACACTAACTACAACAACCTTTAACCTGATATTACAGTGTAGTTGCAAAATCAGAAACTATATTAATTTGAACATTATAACTATTGTTTTTAATCGTCATATCTTTGCTTTACACTAGTTAAACAAAATAATAATTATTTATTGATTGCAATAACTTTTGTTTATAGTGGCTAACTCTATCTTTTCACTATTAAAACAAATCACATCGTAGTCTCATTATATGAAAGGCGTTTTTGATTGGTAATTCTGGCACAATTTTTTTAATCGAGATTCACTTTTAGTGCAATTTTCATTTTCGATTGGTAAATCTCTATAACACTCGAGATTAATTTATAACACTCGAGATTAATTTAGAATACTCTCGATATTTTGCCAGAGTAACAATATTAGCCTAAAATTATCAGCTGTTTTATAAGACGACAACTAGAGTGTGATTTGATTCCATATATGTATTTATGATAAATATAAATACCTACTAACACAATTACAAACATTTTAGATTAAAAATGTTCGATTGGGCAATAAAATATGACAGATCTAAAGTATATCAAGATTGAATTCAGATTTACCAATCAAAAACGCTATAACCACTAGCCGTACAAAATGAAAATTGTGGACTATATATATATATATTTAAGACCACCAATTCTCTGCTATTAACGTTTTGACAACAAATCAATTTGTTGTAGACGACTGCATACGTTTTGTATGCAACGCGAAATAAGATGTACTTTACACATTTCCATAACCAGATAACTCGATAGATGTCGCTATAACCATTAACCGCACAAAATAAAAATTGTGGACTATATATACATATATATTTAAAAGTGAAGACCATCAATTCTCTGCTATTACCGTTTTGACAACAAATCGATTTGCTGTAGACGACTGCATACAAAACAGATATGCAGCGCGAAATAAGATGTACTTTACACATTTTCATAACCAGATAACTCGATAGCTGCCGCTATAACCATTAACCGCACAAAATAAAAATTGTGGACTATATATACATATATATTTAAAAGTGAAGACCACCAATTCTATGCTATTACCGTTTAGACAACAAATCGATTTGCTGTAGATGACTGCATACAAAACAGATATGCAGCGCGAAATAAGATGTACTTTGTACATTTCCATAACCAGATAACTCGATAGATGTCGTCATATAAAATACAATTGTTAGATCAAAAGACCGGCAGTGGCAGTGAAATATCGACACAAACAAAAAAAGGTGAATAATTTCTGAGTTTATAAAAAAAAATGATAGGAAAGATGTTCGGTCCCATAAAAAAAAAATTGAAAAAAAAATGATTGAAACTTTCTTCAACATAAAATGACAAATTACTCAGATATGTAATGACCAAGATATCGCGAAATATCAGAACAATTACGTTAGGCTTAACATGATATTAGAATGAAAGAATATCAACCACTTCATGCATTCTAGGCAGAATATAGAATATAGTCGTAAATCGAGAAACAAGAATTAGTATATAATGTAGTGGAATGATGACGTCGGAGCTGATTTGCGAAAAAGAAATCAAGAATTCTAGACTCCTCTACTCGACTTGGATTCTAAAACCATTCTTTTATTCTAATTTATTCTTTATGCATGATTTAGAAAACAATATATCTAAGGACTATTCTAACCAGAATACAAATTCAACAACTTCAGGAAAGAATAAGATATTTAAAAGAAAACATTCAGTTTATTAATAAATCTACACATTGGTGGCAACAGAAATTCTCTGTTTTTACGTTGTCAAAATAAAATCATCATAATTTAATTGAAAATCGTTAAAAATTAAATTATAATAATTAAGCATTGTCATAATGCTGAAAAATAAAAACAAGTACTATATTAATATTCATCTATAAAGCTTCTTTATCAAACTTCATTCAAATTTTACATCACTTTCAATACGAAAATATTCAAATAAATAAATATAATGTATAAAAGATTTAATATTTGTTATATTTAATTATTATCGTACTTAAGCATTTAAACCAATTTTATTTTATATTTTACTAGTATAACACAAGCAAACGTGACGAAACTTAAAACGGAGACAACATAATAAAATTAATTTTTAATGTTATAATTCTTATTTACTTTAAATTTTAAAGTTTATAAAAAGCATATGACCATTATCAAGTTGACAGCAGCGGCTTATTTTTTAATTCGGGGCCTTTGGTGTAAATATGTGAGGAATCACTTTTTAAGTGATTATGAGATATCACTTTTTATGTGATTATGAGATATCACTTTGTAAGTATTAAAAAGTGATATGACGCCTTTCCCGTGGAGTTAGAACTATCCTAGGCCGATTGAGATCAGAACATAGCCGTGCACGAAACAGTTACTTTTCATGCTTAAATGCATCTATTTTCAATGTGAATCCCAACTGCAACTTTAATGTACACACCAAATTAAGTTTAACTGATCTTTGGCTATATCCAATTGAAGTGTTCTTCAATTAAAATCCCACCTATTTCCAATCAAATCTCTTTTCTTTTCTCTTTTCCTTCACACTTTCTTAACTTAATCGTACCTAACCCAAGTTTATGTATTTGTAATACTGTTCATGTTATCTGCTATTTAGATCTTCTCGGATTATCACAACAATAACAACAGGGTAATCAAAACCTAAATGGATAGGTTTTTGTTAACACCTTTCAAAATTAAGGGACACTGAAACTTCTGTAAAACTCTGTGAAATAAAGAGGTTTGTCAAAATATAGATTCAAAAACTCTTTCAGGCTTTCAACGAACCAAATGAACTCTGCAGTCTTATACAGTCCAAGTTCTATAACTCGATGTGCAAAGAAAAGGTTTGACTTATGGAGATTTCGATCTAAAGAATTTTTTTGTAATTTTATGTAATTTGCACTCTAAACCCTGTTGCACTCTATTAAGTTCTGGTTATAGGGAATTCGGTTATAGAAGTTCGAGTAATGGAAATTTGATTATATTTTAAATTATCTATGATCTAAATATGTACAGGTTAGCTTAGAATTATATCCAGATGCTTCTGGGTTTAATTTTCTTTTATCCAATGAAAATAATAGTTTTAAATAAATTAATATTATAATAAAGTAAAACAAATGACAATTCATTACGTTAGTTAAATATAATTTAAAAAATAATAGAGATTAACATTTTACTAAAAAATTTTAATAATTTCTTTTCTTATCAGTATGAAGAAAGGTGCAAAGAAACGTATAGAAAAAAATTTGCAAACGTTAAGAAATCACATGAAAAGCGAATAATAATTAAGCAACAAAATTCCTATATCTCTTTCTATATAGAGAAATCAGCTGCACAGCATATGTTTAGCTCAAGTGAACCAATTTGCCAAATAATGGGGGTGACGGAGATGTAGCAAAGCTCACTTAGCAATTGACGTAAATAATTCAGACTAGCAAGTATGAAGGTAAAACAAAAAAGCAGACATTAGCTTGATGACACATCTATTAGCGCAGGCAAAAGTAAAAAAAAAGCAACAGCAAAACAAGCAACAACAATGCAAGCAACAGCATTAGAAAGAAAAGCAGAACAATAAAGCTAGTAGTACAATGAAGAGAATTTATTATTAAAGAGAAAATTTTCATTGAAATTCAAAAGTTTTAAAATGCAATATGCAAATGCAAATATTATTCAGATAAAAATATCATGTGAAATAATTTTATAAACAATGCATGTAGTTATTTATGTGTGTAAGTGTGCAGACTTTTTTTGGAAAGTAGTTATACGCCCTCACCTAAAATAGCAAAAGAAGCGGAAAACTTTTTAAAAAAATATACATTGTAAATGAGGTACCAGCTAAATTTAACAACAACATCAACAGCAACAATAACTTGATGTCAGCCATAAATTAAGAGTTAAAACAAAAACTACATTTTACAAAACTACTATTTTATAACAATATTGCAATTTTATATAATAATGAAAGCCGAAATAATAAACCAAACAATATTTATATAAATTATTTATATATTAATTTTATTTAACTAAATGAGTATTATGTAAACAATTTATTAGTAGGTTGAAAACACTTTACAGAAATCATTTCAATACAAAAACAAATTCACAAAACACAAAAAACACCTGATCTCTTGGGAAAGTCATGCAATGATTCATTATATTTCACATCCTACGACTTACCATAAGTTCTCCTTTTCGGTAGCAGCCGCTGTATCCTTTTTCTTTGATGTAAAAGATGATGTCAGCGCATTGCCATTCATTTGAGTCCCAATATCTAACGCCATTTCCTATAACCAAAATGCGGGCGGAAATAGAGCGTTTGAACTTAAAGCCACAAAAAAACACACCAAAGTGCCACAGAACAAGTCACGATCTTGTTACAAGAGAACGAGAAGGGTATGTACAGATAAAACAATAGTAAACAAGATACAAGTTAATATTTGAAGAATTTGCAATATGAAGACCAAAGGCGTTAAGCTTCTTTTTGGAGACTCTTTCTTTTGTTTTTTTGCTACGTTGCTCCAATCTTTTCTCTTTTGTGCTTTAATTTCTTTACTGTCTTCAATAATGGTGAACTTTTATGTTTTTCGGTTTGCTTTGCAACTTTTCTTTCATTACACTTTTCAAGTCCAATTGGAAGATTTTTCTTATTTTGAACACTGTCGAAGTAATTTTTATAATTTCATTTTCTCTTACACTGTATACAAAATAAAACAATATACTTTTAATTATATTGTTGTATATTAATTTTGCTTAATTTTTTACATTAAATTATGCACGAAAAGAATGTCATTTGTCGCACGATGATTAACTATCTTTTCTCGATGATTTCAACAACGAATTTGCGTTCTGATGTGTATTTTTTCTTTTACCTTTTCGTTAATATATCTATCTCTGTTTTCAAGTAATGAATAAAAAAATCAGCTGTCAGATGTATAGAAACAGGGTTGATTTATGTGCAAGAAAAATCATTTCTAATATGTGAATATAATAACAATCGAATTTTCTTAACTCGAACTAAGTAGAGTGCAATAGGGTTTAGATATCAGATTATAAACAATTGTTATTCTTAATTTTTCTTATTCTTTATTAAAATAAAAAATGATAATAAAACAATACCTGGAACTTAAGCATTGAAAGTTTGCGCAGCCTTGGCCACTTATGGAAAAACATGTTAGTCATCACTTCTAATTTGACATGCACGAGTTCTAAGTCTGGCACTTGCAGTCCCAACAAATTATACGCGGACTATAAACCAATTAAAAAGAGATTCGAATATTTCCTAAGACCACTGATGGTCAACCAAATTTCAATATATTAACTATAATTTTTGTCTTTGTCTTTTCTTTGCTATTCGAATTCGTCTAACTTTTAAATAGTTTCTTTTCGTCATAAAGTCGCGTCACTCTCGGCAAGAAAAAATTAACATTAATTTATTTATATATAATTACATATAATTTAATTACAAATCCACCTTTAATGTTTTGATATTAATATTCGTATAAATATTTTTAATGTAACTCATCTCTACTTAAATATAAGCTACACCAAAATCAGATGGTTGAGCAGTTCAATTTTCAATATCTCTAGTAACAAAAATATCTTGAAAATTCAATATCCAGAAAGAATTTTCAAAATTAAATGTTTTCTTCAAATGTTTATTAAAAAGTGTTTGTCAATGTTTGTCAAAAGTGAGAAAAAGTGTTCGAGAAAACTAATTGAAAACTAATAACAAGCTCTTTTTAAGAAACATTTTAAGAAAACATATAATCTTGAAAATTCTTTTTTTATTGATAATTAAAAGATTGAATTTCATATCTATTCATTCACAAGTTTATCAAATAATTGAATCTCTTAGAATGGCAGCACTTTTACGATATTCTTTATTGAATTTTATACGCAAATTTTAAAATACTAGTTGATTATTGATACATCTCATAGGTAGACTTCAATTAATTTTTCTTTGTTAATAATTAGTGATATACTCCTATTCAGTGTTTTACAATTTTTTCAAACAAATATTTAACATTATTTTTTTTTTAATATTTATTTTATATATTGAACTTTACCCTAAAATTGGAAACAGATGACAATTTGAGAGTTCTCGAATTTATTAACATCACAGATCAAAGGCTCTAACCTTTTTTATACAGCGTTTTATTTTTTTGTTTAAAAATGCAACCTTGAGAATGTCATAACGGCGAGAAGAAGATATAACAACATATCAGAATCACAAGACACTGAAGAAGAATGTAAACAGGCGTATTATTATTAAAACATATTTGAAATCCGATTCGCGGCTTGTTTTATAGTACTACATTGTTTTTACATAATGGAAAACGCAGAGAATATTATACAATTATCAATAAATTATAATTGTTCTGTACAGTTTAATAATGCAATTGAGGCGTATAAAAAACGTCGCCAAATGTATGAAAATAAATTAAAAGTGATTAGGAAACAAAAAGCAAAGTTGATTTCACAAATTATTTTGAGAAATATTCAATATTGCCAGACTTTGGTTGGTATACACAACGAACAATATATATTATGATTTAAAATTAAAATTGCTATGTTTTAGGACAGAAGAAATAAATTTTGGGCCAAAACTTCAAAAAAGCTAGATGAAGTTATCGAATAGACTACATGGAATATGTTGAATAAATTTTAGTTCTACTGATGTTTCATACATGATGTCTATATAAAACAATTATTAACTCAACACTCTTTTTACCAAGTGAAAATACTTATTCAATAATGTACTTTTGTTTACAGAATAAAATGTTTGTATAATTATTATTAATTTTAAATAGTGACTAAGTAAGCAAATCATATTTCTTTACGATAGTTAAGTGCTACTTATTAATTAAAATATTAATAAACTTGACTAGTGAAACAAAATTTTATAAATTTTTTTGATTTGTAGGCGTATTAATACCAACTGACGCATGATTAAGATTTTTAAGTAAAGAAGTTAAATCCTTAGAAACTAGTACAGTTAGAAGCTTTCTGCTAATAAGTCATTGCTCTTTATACTCCCCACTCGATTTGTTTTTTGGGTTCAATTCTAAACTTCTATTTATTTCATTAACGGTCTAAAACTATTTAAATAAATGCTTAAACAACAATAGGATTGTAAATGATTTTTTTTAATTGTCACACTAGATGTTAGATACCAGTAGCAGTCTGTGGTAAAGTAAGATGAAACTTAGATTTTATGAGGGAAACCGATTGTGTTAATGTAATTAAAGGCTAATTTATATTTTATTATAAACTTATCCCACACAATTTTATGCAAAATATTAGTTTTCCAAATTTACTATTCGGTATGCTTCCTTCTAATGTCATTATTATTGCTATTTGGTTTTTATTTTTAATTGCCACTTCAATCGCAGTTATCAATAATGTTACTTATCCTTTGCAACGCATTTTTACATAAGTATATAATAAATAGACGATAATATATAAATTGGGATGACCGATTATAATAAATAGACGATAATATATAAATTGGGATGACCGATTATTTTCGACACATGGTCTATAGTTGAGGAATGACCTACAAAATGATTCTTACCTTCTTCATGAAATATTTACAACTTTTCATTTATATGTAATAAAATATAAAAATACTATGATAACACAATTTATTTTAAATAACAATTTATGTTTTATATATGTATATATATTTTTTTACAATTTAAATTAAAAATAATTAAACAAGAAAGCCAATCGCAAAATATTTCCGCAGGAAAATTCTTACAGAAATAAATATTTTTATTTCAAAAGGAATGTTAGAATTTAATTTGTTTTAAATATATTGGCATTCAGTAAGCTTCAATTAGTTCTTTATACACGCAATTTGACTGATATATAATTATAATACATTTTTCTATTTATATGTTTACTTTAATGTATAGAATTTTATTTTCTGATATATATATATATAATTTTGAATTTGAAACACACACGGCGAGTGAGAAATATGACAGAAATTAGTGATAAAATAATAAAATATTTAAATGTACATTTTGAAATCAATTTTCAAACAAAAAATATAATTAAAATATATTTAACAAAGTATTTACTGCATCATCTCATATGCTATATAACAATTGTACGTTTGATAGTTTTGTAATACGTCATTATATTAGTTGTGTGTTTTTTTATAATACCATTAAAATATTTGAATTGCCACAAAAAAAAACCTTTAAAAAATTGGTATGTAATTATCAATTTTCGCGCGATGTTTTTGAGCCACACACTCGGCAATCCAAACAATATTGCGACACTCTTGTTCTTTTAGTTTAAGATAAGCGTAGAATACACCAAAATGGAACTGTTGCAAGAAAGCATAAACATTAAGTTTAACTTCATGTTCGAAGAATTTATCCTCAAGAGTTTTATCGCCAGGATTAGTGCCGGAACCATCAAAAAGAGCGGCATATTCTGCATAGTATTCTGCTACAGTTTTAACTTGTTCATAATCATCAGCACGAGCTAGAGCAGCTAAACCATCTGGATGCATTTTACCACAACGTGGATATAATTTTGCACGATCATCTTTAGACAATTCAGTACCAAATGAATTAATAGTAATAATTATTGCACGACGGTCTGCCTCAAACTGAAAAATAAATTAGACATTAATACACTATCCTTATAACATAAAAAATACAACGTTAATACTTACGGCTAAGATTTCACACATAACATCAGCTGTGGAACCTCCCATATTTTTACAAAAATCATAAAAAGCTTCCAAATAAGCTTTATACAATGTATTACGTATAATTTCAATATTCATTTCATCCAAATCTTGTTCAGAAATGCAATCAACGAAAAATGGTGCCAATGGTGTATCTACCAACACAGCATTATACAATTCAGCAGGTGTGGCTGCAACATGTATAGCCTCCATTTGTTCGAAACTACCAAGAGGATGACATTTTGGTATTAATTCCGAAATTGGGCGTTGGTGCAAAGTGCCAGTGATAAGCAAAATTATGTTATCAATCATATAACCATAAGTGATGAAGTCTAGAAAACTTGACAATGGCTCAACGGCATGGTTGCGTAAATGCTGGAACTCAATTACGAGTTTTTCACGCAACTTGTCATCAATAACAGACACAGAGAGTGGCGATGGTTCGTTAGCTAAAAAGCTACCGTAGTCTGTGCCTTGAAGATGTAATTTTAAATCTAAAATAAAAATTTTTGTAATAAATAAAAACAAAGCAAAAGGCTGCTGGCATCACTTTCACACTACAGTTCAACGTATAAGTGCAACACTGTCTAACATGCACACTGTATACATACAGTATTGTTAAGAAAGACTAATGTGTCATGTGACCTAATGAGTATTATTAATTGTTCACATATTTAATAAATTCTTTAGTTTACCTTCTAAAGTTTCACATTGAACCAGATTCAAATAATCTGATTGTTTCAGTATTCCACACTTGAAACCACGACACAAGCCTTCCAAGTAGCCACCATCAATGTTGAACATAAAACCTGAACCAGTCATCTTTGTTTACGTTAACTAAAATTATTTGTTTTGGTTTTATATCAAATGCATATTTTTAATTAATATACATAATTTTTTAATTTACAACTTACTGGTTTATTAGAAAGAAATCTTTTAAACTACAGAAATTTTAGTTCCTACTTATCACTTTTTTCCTTCTATCGACCACCACCACTCAAGCAAATGTCATATGACTGAAAAATTTTCTTCGTTAAGTTGAACGAAAATTTTACACTAATTTCGACTGGCGGCTAAAAGCTAATAAGGCGTTACTAGCGCAGTCAAGCGGTGCATGGCAAAAACAATTTATTTTGTTTTGAATTTTACATTATAAAGACTTTTTATTCAGTTTTGAAAGCAAAAATATTTAAGAAATTTTATTCATTTTCAAAATATTTCCATTTAATATATTAAAGTTTAAATAAAATATTTTTTAATACTCAATTTAATTTTAAATCCCGATCTCTTAAAGACCATGGTATATCGATATATAGTGTAGCAGAAAAGTTTTTTAAAATAGTAAACATTGCAAACTTTGACGCCAAAATATGGTACTCACCAAAAAGTTTGATAATGAAATAAAAAAATTTACTAAGATCTGTTGCTTAATTACGGCATTCTAGTAATCATAATTGTACTGTGTTTTATCCCACTTATGTATACTACTAAATCTATATGTATATAGTAACTATACATGATAAAATATACTGTTCATATAGGGTCCTTACTTATGAAATAAGTATAGAAAGGAAATTATTTTAAAAAAAATGTCTTCAGGAGACCATTCAAATTTCTCTTTTAGTCGTTTTATTGTAATATGATTTTTATCCAAACGACTAATAAGCAATAGGACACTTGAAATAACGAATATATGAACATTTTAGATTTTTTATTATTAAGACGATAGAGCTAAGTTAGTTACATATATTACTTTATAAACGTTAAGTAAGAAGCTATTTGAAATTTTAGTGTCTATAATGGGTTGTCTATCGCTGATAGACAGTAAACTAGTTTCTATTGTTAATAAATAAAATTGAATTTTTGTGTTGTGAATTGGAAACCGATAGAAGTTTTTCTATCAGCAGTAGATAAATTTCTCCACTGCATTTGAGCAATAGAAATTTGTCGATCGTATAAAATAAATGCTCTTGAAACACTATATAAAGTCAATTTAACATATAAATTAAATATAATTTCATAAAATGAAATTTGCTCACCAATCGACTCAGTAGACAAATGTCTATTGTCTAACAATACACATTTCTATTGTCTAACAATAGACATTTCATAATAGCCATTATTATTATACTTCTTAGTGTTGTTGATATAGTATTTATAATGAACGTGCCCGTTTAATGATAGTGCTAAAAATCACTTGAACTTGATAACTTTCGAAGCTCTTACATTCTCTAGTTTGAATTTTAATTTTTATACAAATATCCGATTCTAATCTAAGAATTGACGATAATTTCTAAAAATATTTGGTGAAACAAAAACCAACCTTCGCCTTATACCTATATTAATATTCGTTTTTAACTCTTTAAAAAGTTCAAGAATGTTTTATATTTCAAATTTCCGGTATTATTTATTAAATATACTTCATAATTAATTAAATCATTTTTAAAAGTTTCACAATATTTTTTTATATAATTAACTTAAATTATCTGAAATGAAATTAATAGATAAAAAATAACTACTCCTCAAGTATATATAGTTTTTTTTATTTTATTACAAATTATATTCTCTTTATAATAATTTTTGAAAATGTTGATAAATACAATTCATTAAAAAAACGGTAAAACGGTATTTTTAATTAAAATAAATAATTTATATAAGTTTCTGATTAATTTAATATGGAAAATCAGCTAATACCTTTTTACGGCAGTGCAAGTCAAGGGAAATTTTATTTAATAATAATCGAAATTTCTTCAAATTATAGTTGGAAAAACTATTTTATGAGTTAATTTGTATATTATTATTTTTATATTATCATTGACATATTTTACAGATCACAAGAAAATTTTATAATATATAATTAATAAAAGTGGAATAAACCGAATATATTTGGGAATAGAAATCTCGAACAAGTTAGCATTATTTTATGCTATAAAAATTTATTATACAAATTTATATTATTTTAAAACTAACTAATTATAAATCTATATAGATATATGTTTGATCTTGTGACTATAATTTGGGACTTACATATATATATATATATTGTTTACTTTGAAGATGTACGACAATAATGGTGATGACATATTATTTCGATTTTTTTGTTGTAATTATTTATGATTATAGTATTTTTATTGTTGCAAAAATTCTAACCTAACTGAATATTCATATTTTTAAATTTGAGACAACAACTTACAATTAATAATTATTCCACTTTTACTAATTTTTCTATATATAAATAATAATTGTTTTCTTATTCATAGCTAATTTCAAATTGTTAATTTTAATATTTTAAGATCGTTGCTAGTGTGCTAAAGTGCATATATGTTATGCTCATTTCAAAAATAGGAGGCGGAGGGTAAGGAAAGAGTATCTTTTGTGTATTTGAAGTTTATATTTATTAGGATATTTTTCTTATTTATCTACCCATATAGTTAAAATTGTTAACATTTTGTATATAATCAAAGAACATTCTAGGGGAAATACCTTATTATATTCAAATGACTTTTCTGAACAATATAATTGCTAATATATTTACTATACAAATAATGCATATATATACATTATATATACATTATTTGTGAGTTATTTTTATTTTGATTTATGTAGTATTCTTTCTAATTACTTCTATTGCAAAAATTTTGAGGATTTATAGTCGTTGGGATGTAGATGCGTGCAGGTGAGTATATTTAAGTTCTTGGTTCTGACTTATAACATAAGCAAATTACTTTAGCAAGAGGCATTATAATTAATTTTATATATATTTCGTTATTCACATTCAAAATAATTTAAAAAAAACTAGTCAAATTCATTATATAGACAAAATAAAAATTATTAAGAAAGAAATAATAATATTTGAGAATATAATTAAGCATTTTTCTGTAATTAAAATTATTATTTATTTATTTTTATTTTAATTCTTATTATATGAAAAGATGAAATTTTATTTTTATTTTAGTCATTTTTCATTTCATTTCTTATTATCAGTTATAAATTTTTTTTCTATTTAATTTCATACAAAAAATTAATTGATAATATTTTCGCAATACTAAAGAAATTTTATTTTATTATTTATATTACATTATATCACATTATATCCTAAGATTTTGTAGTTAATATTATTATTATTATATATTATATACTTTTTTCACATAGTATTGTATTGTATATGATTTTATTATATTATATATCAGTGGTGCATGTTGAAAATAAATCCGCCCTTAAGATAAAGAAAACGATTTTTATTTATTGGAAAAGTAAATAAAAAACAATAAGTTTTTTCAGACCTGCTAGCTTTGTCCCAGTTGCTAGTAATGACGTCACCTCTACATCTCACCTCTACACGTCATAATCTCTCATTTCATAAATTAATTTGAGTCCTATTAATTTATGGTTCTATGCCATTGAAATTATTAAAGTTCCAAACTCTTAATCTTCCCAATACTTCACAATAAAACCTCCATGACTCCTCTTTCCAGATCCCATTCTAATCTTACCCATTTGTATTGTCACACATTTATGTTTCTTACTCAACAGTTCTTTCAGGTTAGAACAACAACAACAGAGCTTTACAGAACATACTTAGTAACCCGGCATTTGGTAATATTTTTCTTTTTTCATGCTTTATCCCCTACCAAAAACAAAATGCTTACTACACCACTGTTATACATTATAAATAAATTCAATTATATTTACATACCATATATATTATATCAGATATATGTTAAATACCAATTAAACTAGGTTTTACTGGATTATATATCGTTGTTCACTTAGCAAAACTAAGTTTAAATAAAAACTTAAAAAGGTCAGTAATTAGCAATTGGTAATTATATTATATTATTATAAGTTGTTATATAAATATATATATAATACAAATTTATTATATATATTTTTTATAAATTTTGTTATTATATTATTTTTTTTTTTTTAAATTTATATTATATTTTTTTTTTATATTGATTCAATTTTTATATCATATTATTTTATGTTATATTAAAATATAGTATGTTTTGTGTCTATGTATAATTAAATTTGTTATTCTGTATTATAAATTTAATTCTTGCATATTTCTATATTCAACTCAAATATAAATTCATAATTAGTCGTAAATTTAACTAACAGAATGTTTTGAAAAAAAAAAAAACATTCAAGCAAAATAAATTTCAATATTCTATAAAAAAGTAACGAAAGCTTGTAATAATAAAGCTTATAAACAAATTTACTAAGCGACCCTGTATGGTATTACATGTTTTGTTTTATATAATTTTCAAAAATATTAGTAATTAACTTTTATAATTACATTAATTGATTAATTATTTTAAGTAAATTCGTAAAAAATCTATTGATTTTATATATACTTGCAAATTAATTAAATCTGTGCATGTTCCACTTAAATTTTAATTTGATATAAAACATTTTTTTGTTTTAATAAAAAAAACTATAGTAGAAAATATATTATACAAATAAATAATAATTACATAAGTTAATTATTTAAAAAAAATGACTATTTGTTAAGAAAAAATTAAAACCATTTTAATATTAAAGTTATAAAATTAAATTAATAAAAATATCCGTTAAAGGAACATAGCTTTCAAACAAAAAAAAGTAGCCTATAAAAACATATAGCCTATAAAGCATAAATCATAGATAGAATAAATTATTTATTTTCTGAAAATAAATTAAAATGTATATAAAATTAAAAAATATATTTAAATTAAAAATGTATTTAAGTATAATATATTAAATTATTTATTTTGCTAGTTATTGTAGATAATATTTTGTTTAATATTAATGTAAAATATATTTTAGAAAAAATAAATAGTACCAATAATCACAAAATAAAAAACAAATGAATAAATTGATTATTTTAACATTGTGTATTAAGTAAATAAAATATGTTTATTATTAAATTAGAAAAATTAACAAATATAAGTTAAATTTTATAATGCTGATGAAAGCTTTAATTACAAATAAAAATCTATAAAGGTAAAGTTGTTTTACGTATTAACTAGAAAAATAAAAAAAATATATTTGTTACTTATATTTATTAATACACTAAAATTAATAAATAAAAGTTTACAAAATAAATAGAGCTAATAAAAAATTTAATTACGAATAAATATCTTTAGAGGTGAAACTGTTTTTTGTATTTACTTATAACTCATTAATAAAAAAAATTCTAATATAAAAGAAAATTGTATTTGGTTTTGAACAGTCCAAACAATTTAAATAAACTAAAAATAAATAAAACTCATAGAAAAAATTTACTATAAATAAAAATAATTTTATGTAAACTTGTTCCATTTATTTACTTATACTTATTAATCCAAAAAAAAATTGTAACTGTTCCTGAAAAAATGTTTATTTATATAAAAATAAATTGCAGATTTGCCAATTAAAAATTAATTAAAAAACTTTAGATTTTAATTTTATAATAAAAATTTATTTTTATTTATTTTACGTTACCTACATTAAATTAAAAATTAACATTAAATAAAAGGTTTATTCTTTTGTTTTTTCTTGTGTGTGTGTGCTTTTTAATTGAAATTTAAACAAAAAGCATAACAGTTTAAAAGAAAAATATTAATTAGAAAATTCTATAAAAATAAAAATATTTTTAACCTATGTTTTTTTTGTTATGTATATGTTTGTTTCTTACATATGGAATAGTAATTTATATAAAAAAAATAAACAATATTATAAACGTAATTTTATATTCGAGTCATTGCATTTTCTTTAACTCTAATAATAATTTCAATTCGAACTGTTTTGCTTTTTTTTTAATAAAATATTGTTTTTGATATTTAGTTGCCATTATAAAAAAAAATTAATAAAAATAATAATGCATATAATTACACTATGGACGTTTTAAAAATAGGTAAAATTTTTTTAAAAAAATTAAATATATATAAGACTTTTTGTTTTATATATTTTTGATACTATAGTTATACACAAAAAAAATAAAATTTTAATTAAAACTATATAGGCATATAATTTTAAAATATATATTAGAATTATACATAAACAGCTTATAATGTACATTAACATATACGTAAATGTATACATATATGTTTTTAAAATTTTAATTATTTGCAGTTAATTGGTTAAATGTTGCTTATTACTTGTCCCAAAATATATATGTTTCATAAATAAATGTACAATATTTATGAAATTATTATTTTTAAAACTTTATCTAGCTGAGACATTTGCAACTAAAACTATTAACCAAGTTCAATTAAACTAAATTATTTGCAATTTGTTCATATATATATATATATTAAATAACGTTCAATACATATGTGTAAATAATTTCCATGTAGTAAGAAAATAATTTTTACTTTGAGTTTCTTTTTTTTTTTGTTAACAAAATACATCAACTCACAAGCATTAGATATTTATTAAATATTTTCCGTTATTTACTCTACACAAATGATTTTTTAATTTTAAACAAATTTAGTTTTGAACACATTTTTAAGCAGTTTTTGAACGAATAGTGGCAAAAAGATCAAATTTTCTCAATTTTATATTTAAATACTTAATAATTTAAATTTATAAAATTTTTATTTTTAATATAAAAAAGCACAACAGTGTTTGTGTTATATTTAAACATTTTAATTGTATTTTATACACTTAATAAATTTTCTTTACATTAAACTCATTCGTATTTTATATGTTAAATTTTATAGAAAAAAATTATTTAAAATTATTTTATTAACATTAAATAGCATTAAAACTTTAATTAATAATAAGAAAAAAAATTATTTTCTTTCTTATTTACTTTTATGTTCACGAACTGCTACGTAAGTAATAAAATAATTTTATTTGTTAGTACCTTCCATTGAGATTCAGTTTAAATTCTAAATATCATATAAATCAAATATCCAAACAGCAAAAGACTTATAATAGTTGTTACAATAACATATTATTCATATAACTATATATAAACAATATTTTTTTTTTTTGATGAAATCTTGTGCTGCAGAATATTTGAGCTTAATGCAGCTGCTACCTAAATATAACATTTAATTTTTTTATTTTCGTTTTAGGCAAACTATAATTACTTAAAAAGGCTTTAGTTGTGATTTGTATTCCTTGTTTTTAATTTATTATTTAAATAGTTTTTTTTATATTCTTTGAAGCAAAGCAAAATACATACATATTTAAATTCATTCGAAATATTTCGTATTAAACAATTAGCACTATAAGCAATTAATAATTTTTAATTTTAAAACATTCGTTTATAATTGTTTAGTTTCTTGTTTCAGTTTTAATAATTTATCATTTTTTTTTATAATAAAATCCTCAAATTTTATTTATATTTGAAATTTAAAATGTTGCAAAGTTCTTTAGTTGTTGTTGTTGCTATATTTTATATTCTTCTGATGTAATTCTAAATGTATCTGTTATGCTTAAACGTAAGTAGCAACTGCTGCTGTGTTGGAGCCCTGTGTTGTGGCTGGCGCTGTGGCTGTGGTTGATTGATGTGATGCTGCTGTGTTATTAGTAGGTTGTGGACTAACTGGTGGTTGCAATTTCCCTGGTACATATTGACCAATGAACGAACCATCTTCAGTGAATTGTCCTGTTATTAAAAAAAATAAAATTTAATATATATTAATTATAATTTCAAAAATGTTAATTTGTTATGTTATTTAAATCATGTTAATAAACCACTTATGAACTAAATTTTTTAACCAAACCATCTGATATCTTTAAGTCATTAACCATTCAATTATTAATATTGAATAAATGTATATGAAATGTAAATATTAAAGTTAATATTATTTTGTAGATTTAGAAGAAATTCTTATTTCATTTTATAACCGAAAGGTGTAGTATTCGACAGAAAAGCATAGTATCATAATATAAACTTGAAACATATTATTTTAGATGAAAGATGTAGGTTGATATAAAAGTATAGTAATGTTAATTATTCACAAAACACAATTAAAGAACGGCAGTAAGAAATAAAGACGAGTGGAAGAATATTGTTCTACAAGTCTAGGACCTTAATGGATTGTCAAACAGTAAAGAAATAAGAAAGAATGAAAGTATTTTAAGTATTTAAAAAGAGGCCATAGAGATTTAAGATATAAATATTTAATTTATCTGCATTAATTATGTCAAAGATAGAAGTGATTTCAGGAAGTAGAAATTAATATTAGAGTGTGATGTGAAGTATTAGAAATGCATAACATTGAAGTTAACACCAAATACAAAAGACTTAGGCATAGTAATGAAGTAGAAACCTATATGACATGTAGGAGAGAAAATTAAATCCAACACATGATTAAATTCAAGAGCTCTTATATGACTGTCCCATAGATCCAGTATCAAATATACATTAGGCACATCTTTAGTTGATACACATATACTCTTTGGCTACACAACCATACAATAGTATGATATGAAAGGTTTTCGGATTTAAAAACGAATCAACAAAGCGGGAGGGTTTAATTGAAAATCAACTATTAATTTAATAAAATATATATGTGTTAAAATACAGAAAATAAAACACAGACTTGTGAGCAATTTAAAAAGAATTTGTAGTGGTAAAAATCAATTATTATTTAAGTAATCCATAAAGAAATATAAAAATAGCATACTTGATCTGAATTACTAATTATCCAAATATAAGGTATTGCGTTTTAGAACCTTCCACTTTTTAGCATAATTTAATCTAATTTTAAATCGAATCATAGTGTCTACATTAAAAAATAGAGCATTTTGATTAGAACCATTGTGGATTTATATTCCAAAAGCGGTGACCCAATTCAAAATTTTATAATATCTTTAAAGAATTAAACTGAACTTCATTTTCTAAGTGTAACACGATACTATCCAAACCATTAACTGTTTGATGACGACTAGAAAATGACATTCGGAAACTCTTTAAAATTAAAAATGTTTTTAATTTCATAAATTTGTTAATAGCTGCGTTTTTAGGTAATGAAATTTATTACACTAAACATTATTGCTGTATAAAATAAAATTTAAACTACTCAAAACATTAATTAATTTCAAGTAACTATTATTTAGAAGTACTAAGCTTCATTTAAGCCAAACATTTTGCATATACCTATTTTAAATTTTTACTTGGATTAAAATGATTAGTTAGTACTACTGTTAAAAGGGATTAACATACTGAAATTTTAAAAACAAAAATTTTATTGTAAATAAATAATTAATGTTAATAATAATTAAAAGTTAAAATTAAATGATATCAATTAAAAAATTAAAAGTTTGTAATAATGTTAAATAATTAAAAGTTAAAATTAAATGATATCATAAATTAAAAAATCAAAAGTTAATAATTAATGAAAATGGAAATTATATAAATTAATTTATATTTGTACAGTAATTCACGGATAAATGCGTTCAATAACATATACATTTGTATAAATGCATTCATAAAAATGTCGTAAACTTTGCGAAATAATTCAGATAAATGTTGCGTATTGATGCATTTATCCAGATAAATGCATTGGTAAGCATCTCTGTTTAAAATTTTTTATCCAGATAATTGTGTTTATAAAAATATTGCTATTTTGGCATATTTATCCAAATGTATACGTTCAATATTTTAAAGCATTTAATCAGCTAAATATGTTTATAAAAATCTCATTATATTCATTTATTTATCCAGATAAATGCGTTTATAAAAATATAACTCCTTTAGCATATTTATCCGCATTATTTCATTCAAAAAAGTCCCGATATTTTGAGCATTTATCCGAAAAGCGTATTGAAACTAATAAATGATATTTGCGTCTTTGTTTATTGCATATTTAAAAGACGAAATGTATTTAACTTTGGAGCATTTATCCGAGAACTTCAGTACATAAGTATTATTTAAAAAAAAAATTAAATAAAAATGCATGTACCATTAAATTTGTTGCAGATTGTAGTCGTTGTAATCAAGATATACAAGTCTTAGTATATTGATAACAGCAAATCCATATACACATATTTTCTTTCAATTATTGCACTCTGTGCTGTGGAACTCTCATACTTTAATATATATATTTATTTAAATTAAGGCAAAATTTATTGCAAATAATTATTCAAGTTTGTTATATTTTGTATTTTGTATTTTAATTATTTATACCACATTTTTTTGTTTTTTTCTTTTAATAATGCTTTTTTTTAATACGAATAGGTACGAAATATCTTAATCATTGAGTTTAATTTACATTATTACAAAAACAAAAGTTTATTACTTACAATTATAAATCTACATTTATGCATATATAAAAAGAGAGACGATTCTTGATAAATGAATATAGAAAAGACATAAAAAAATAATAAACGAATTTAAAATTAACAATATAACTAAACAAATTAAAAATTATATTTTAAGCAAATTAAAACTAAAATTAAAAAAGTTTAAATTTAAACCGCGCATTTACAACAACAAATTTTTGAAATTAGATTTGTTGTGGCACTTTTGAAAGCTTCGTTGGTGATAGATAACATACATTATAAACATTTATTGGCAGTTAAACTTATTTTTTTATTAATGCTGTAGAGTTTATGGTGTTTCTTAGATTCGATGCTATGTAGTATTTTAAAGTCCTTTACGTCCATATTGGCCTATAAATGAGCCATCCTCATTCATGCCTAAATTGTGATGTTCATGTGTGAAACATAGTTTAATGATTGTGGTTTGAAATTAAAAGTGTAAAACGAAAATATAAACACATAAATTAATAATAAAATACTCAATATTAAAAATATAAAATTTAAACATATAGAAATTGAAAAATAATATTTTCAAAAAAATTTTAAATAAATATTTGAAAAATGTGAACAAAAAGTGTTTAATAAAAACAAATTGCTTCACTTTTATGATGATGAAAATGAGCTTACAATTGTGATTTGTAGTTACTTTTTTATTTACTGTAGCAGGAGCTTTATGAGAAGCAAGCCTTTTATATTTTTGATATTTTTTGATATAAATATTAATTAAATAAAATTAATAAGCGCAGTTGTTTTGTTTAGAAGCTGATAGATATTTGCAATTTTTTTTAATGAAATAACGAGCGGAAATAACGATTCTTTGAATTGTGCTATTTTGCTGACTGTGAAATAGTTAATAAAACTGAGTTGTTAATAAATGTTTATATTAACTAAGCTTTAAATATCGTAACTCAAATAATTTGAATAAAAGTAGAAACTGTAAATAACATGCAAAAGTTGTTTCTTGCGTTGTCCTTTACCTTTAAAAACGTTACTTTTTTGTTTATTTTTATTATTGTTTTTATTATAGTCAATGTTTTTGTTTTAAGACACGCGGTGCAACTCATCGACTTACTCAGGCACCGCAGGCAAATTTGTGACAGTTTTACGTACTGCTGCGCTCATTTTCAACATCGTAAAAAATAAAAAATACAAAATTAAATAAAAAACAAATATTTAAAAAAAACATAATAACAATAATATTTGTAAAACCAATTAATTTCAGGACTCATATGGATAACTAATACTTTTGAAAACTTTACACAAGAGCTATACATGTATACACATATGACACAGTGAAAAAGAAACGTACCTGTATCACCATCACCATATTCTGCCATTGAATCGGTATCGCTTTCCACACCGGCTTTGTTACTAGAACTTACGGATTGGCGACCAGCGCTCTTATTATCCAATCTAAAAATGTTAAAAATATGCACATTATACATTATACGAAACTAATAGCTGATAATAAATGACTTACGGTTGTGAGTATTCATGGAAACCTCCTTCATCCGGATAGTCGCGTCTGCCGTTAGCCAATTCACGGTCATGCACATCGTATTTGCCACCACGATTACGACGTATAATACAAATGATGATGAATAAGATAATGATAAATGCTAATGCCAGCATCATGCCAATGAACCAACCAGCATTTGCAACATTCTCATTCTCATTTGGTACTTTAAGGGGTCCTTCTACACCATTTGTATCGATTTCTTGTGTAGCACTTTCAGTAGAGTAATGACCGTCTACTGAAACAACACGGAATTCGTAAACAGTATCACGATTAAGACCTGCTATTTCCTGATAGTCTCTATTTATCTCTGGAGGTGCATCTGTCCATTCCGTTTCGCCCTTAATTCTATTAACAAAATAATAAAATAAATTTCAACTCTAAAAAAATTAATTTCAAATCATAACTTTACCTATATTGTGTATAGAAGTGTGTACCAGCATGACCAGATGTATTTGGCAACCAATTTATACGGAATTTAGCTAAACCGTTATTAGTTGGCTCTTGTTGCCAAGCAAATGCTGGCACAGCCGGTTCTTGTGAGTCTTCTGCTAAAGTTCTACGCTCAATAAAATGTCTGCAAGTAAGTGTTAATTGTTAATTGTTATTACAACAGCAAGGATAACAAAAAAAAAAAAAACAATTAAACTTACTCTGTGCCTTCACCCATTTTAGTTGTAGCAGTTATTGAAATCCTGTATTTTGTATTGGGCTTTACACCAGCCATTTTCATGCGTGTAATGCGCGGATCGGTTATATGTGGATCGTGTTCACGTCGTTCGCCAACATAGCTGCCCTTCACCTCTTCGTAATAGATTTTATAACCTGTAAGCTTACCATTTGGATTTAATGGTTTCTTCCATGTTAACCAAAATGCAGATGAACCCAAAGGATATGCTTCTAAAGATTGTACTGGTGAAGGTACACCTTCAGGCGTATCGAAATCAATCACTGCACTAGGAGGTCCATTGAATCGGCCATTATAAGCAAGCACACGTGCAAAATTTTTAGAATCCGGTTTGAACTGCGTTACCAATGCTTGATTTGAATCGCCTTTAACATGTATTTCACGTAGCGCTTCTTCTCCTTCAACTTCAGTCCATGTTTGGATTTTATAGCCTTTGAAATGCCCTCGGACAGATTCGGGTGTCACTGGATTCCAGCCAAGTATTGCTGATGTTGCGCTTGTTACTTGAATCATACTAAAGTTTGTTGGTGCTTCCAAGGGACCTTCAAATATTTTAATATTTTAATTAGTAACGTATAAGACAATTAAATAATATAATTAATAATGTAAAACTTACGATCTTCGCCTGAATATCCAACTATTTCTTCAGCAGCAACATTAGATTCTCCTTTTTGATTTATGGCAACTACCTTAATCAAATATCGCACAAATGTTGGCTGATTAGTGATCACAACGTTATTTTGTTGCCACTCAAAAATATTTCGGTTCTCCCAAAGTTGCGCTGGTATGTCCCGTTTCCATGACACGCGATATTGAAAATTTGGTGCATTATGTTCAATTTCTGGCATTGGAGTCCAAGATATAACAAGATTATCAGGTTCAGTACCCTGACCGACAACATTATCTGGATTTTTGAATGGTACATCTGGTTCTGTGGAACAAGGTTCGCTATGTTCTGATGGGGGTGATGCACCTATTCTATTATAAGCGATAACACGGAAGGTGTAGTTAGCCCATGGAGACATATCAATTGTAAACGACACATCTGTTGGTGGTACTTTTTCATAAGCAATATCCCAAGAAGCAGGTGTGAATGAAGTATTAAACTGAATTGTATAGTGTAAAATGGGTGAACGATTATCTCCCTGTGGCTCCCAGGTTATTTCTGCTTTATCATTCATACAATGTATACCAGTTAGTCGTGGAGCATTTGGCACATCTTGTACAATTAAATTGGCTTTAGCTGATGCTTCGTCGAGTTCAGTACGTGCGACACAAGTATATTCACCAGAATCTAATTCCACAGTTTTGGCGATAGTAAGAGAATTATCGTTTGTTTTTACAAACCGCGCTTCAGCCTCAAAATCAATTGCCTGACCATCTTTGTGCCATTCTATTTCAAGATCGAGTGTGTCATCATGAGCTTCATTACAGCGAAATGTTGCAGAGGAACCAGCAGCAACTTCATAATTTTGTGGTTCTTGGGTGATGCGCGTGTGTTCCTTTACTATCAGTGAGCCATTTGCAGTTTTGCTACCAAATTTATTCACAGCATAACAAGTATAAGCGCCTTCATCACTGAAACTAACTTGTTGCACCTCTAAATCTCCAGATGGAAGTACTGTGTAACGACCGCCTGTCAGTTCTAAGCCATTTCGTATCCATTTAACTTGTGGTTTAGGTGCTCCAAAAACTCGACAGCGCATTGTTATATTTTTACCATCTACAGTAGCTTCCTTACGTGGAGGTTCTTGTATTTCTGGAGGCAATGCCAACACATTCAAGTACACATCCTTGTAAACATATCCAAGCGAATTTGTAGCGTTACAACCGTAATTGCCAGTATCGCTCTTAACTAAATCACGTATAATAATGCGGTTGTTTTGTACTGTGCGACGAGGATTTGGCGGTGCAAGACCAATTGGTTTGCCATTGTGTATCCACTGAATTGTAGGATCGGGATTACCAGCTGCTTCACAACGGAATTCAACAGTTTCATCTTCAGCAGCATTTTGTGTCTCAGGTTCCTTCTTGAAGTATGGAGTGGCGAGAATTTGCAAGTTGATTGAATATGATTGAGCATTTCCAACACCGTTAGAAACGTCACAAGTATATGAGCCAACATCCTCAAACACGGCATGTCGTATAACTAAAGATTTACCGTAATTACCTTGTGTTATTCGATCACTCCATTTAATCGGTTCTCCATTCTTTCGCCAAACCGTTTGCGGTAATGGTGTCCCACCGAATATACAGTACAACTCAACTCTTTTACCACGTAATGCCACTTCATTCTTACGAGTTACATATTGTCGCTTTGGTGCAAACTTATTTTGGGAAGCGCTAATGCCTGTTTGTTTAACATCGAGTAAAATCCTATTGCCAATTTTGTATTCATTACGGAAAACTGAAGTTGCTGAACATGTATAGTAAAAATCTTCTGAAGCGTCATCACGTGTCACGTTTGAGAACCAAAGTGTACCCTCAGGATCCAAAGTCATACGAGAATTATTAATGGATTTGATACCTCCATCGACAGATTGTTGTATCAACCAGTTCACAATTGGTTTTGGCCAACCATCAGGTGCTTCACATTGTAAGTTGAAAGGTTCACCTTCGTTTGCTTCAAGCGTTTTAGCAGCTTCGTCCTTGAAAGCATTTAATTCTGCTTTTCGCACAAATACCGAATTGGAAGTGGCAATACCAAATTCATTTTCAGCGAAACATTGATATTGACCCAAATCTTCATCTTTAGGCGAGGTTATCACAAGAGTACCACGTCCTGGTTGTTGTAGCATTCGGTTATCGTATGCTTGCCAATCAAATTTTTTGCCGTTCTTAACCCATCGGTAACTGTAAAGAATATAAAATAAAAATTGTATAATTAATTAATTAACTTAAAGGCAAAAAACATAACAAAAAACTTTGCTTATATACTTAAATTTTTTTTTTTTAACAATTTTAAGAACTGATTGGGGCTCAAGGTATTGGTATGAGAGATTTTGCTTCGATTTACTGCGTACTAATACAAAACTGTATGCGCCCTTGGACGTGCACGAAATATACAAACGCATGAGGCTGTAAGCGTTTCAGGCGTTCTAATTGCCGACTATTGTTCATTACACTTCACTGCTGTGTCCACATTGTTACACGCTTAAGCATTTTACTCTTACCAATGTACGTTTCGGCTCTATCTAAAGATACAGAAAGACTTTGACGTTGACATGTTAATTCTGCTCAAGGCCCAATTGGGGTCGTTACAGTGTCGTCAGTCAGTGCTTTCCATATATTTTCGATTTGTGTTAAAAGTGCTTTCATGTTACATATGCAATAGTATGGTGAATAACTGGGGGATTGTGGATGAGGGGAAGAGAAGTTCGTTGACGGCAGAATTGGTCGAAAAGGCTGGAAAATGTTGCATTCTAATTTACGTTCACGTTCACGTATGCGTAAATTATACAGAGACAAACAACAGACTATGGTTTCAATAATCAAATTGTAAGGGTTTTAACTAATTCTGATTTGTTACTTTATGAAATATGAGATCTGCTTTTAATCGTATTTTAAATATGAGAAAAAAATAAATGAATGCATATAATTTTATTTGCTCATTTCTTTGCTTTGAAGCTTTTTTTAAGCTTTAACTAGTTGTAGAATAGTATTAACAATTTAATTTTATATTAAAACTATGAACTACAAAATAAATTAGATGAAAACCAGAAAAAATCTTAATTTTTGCAAAAACCAAATATGCAATAAACGAAAAGTTTATTTATTTTTAGTGAAATCATGTAATCATGAAATCAGTTTCATTTAAACGCCTATTGTAGCAAACTAGTATATCATTGATATGTACTATATTTAATTATAATAAATAACATATTCAGTAAAAAAGAAAAAAATCCGCAACAAAACTATATTCAGTTCTAATAAATAACTTTATTACAAAAAAAAAAAAACAAAACCATAGCAAAAGTAACAAAACTCCAAAAAATATGCGAACAAAAAAGTCAAGTACGGCTTTGGATCAGTTGGTTAAGGTGCGCTGACTCTGAGCTTCACATTTGGCAGGACCTGAGTTAGAGGTACTTGCAGTCTAAAAAATAATTATTTACGAATAATTAAATACAAGAATTATTTCCAAGACCATTGATGATGGGTATTTGGCAATACTCGAAACAGCTGTATGGTCAGCCAAAAATTCAATTAATTAAAATAATATATAAAATAAATTTTTGTTGTTGTAGTTCAGTACTGTTCGAAAAAACCTCTTTAAAAAAAAAGAAAATCCAAAACGAAAAAAATTGTATTTCTAGTATTTCTTTAGAAAATGTCTTCACATTATTTATTTTATTTTAACTTACAACAACAGCTTTCGTTAAATAAGTCGATTTATTGCTATTCGTTTCATATCAAAAAGCGTTTTTCCCCTGCTTGTTCCTATTTTTATAATATTGCTGTTGGTTATTCCTTAACTATAAAGATTGAAAACGCCAGTGAGCTTTGCATTTTGCGGCCTAAATCAGAGATTTAATTCAACTGGTTCCTTATTCACTCAGTCTCTATATTATCTCACCATGCAAAAGAGTTGGTTATATATCTGGTACACTTGCGTCTTCTTTCTGGTTGTTATTTCTCATTTACTGAAGAATGTTCCCTTAAGCTGATAATAAAGTTTTTTCTGACTACTTACGTCGGCTAAAAACTTCTAGTTGCGTTTAATTGCACTAATAAATAGATATCATGCCTAGATAATTAAATGAACTTGATCAAAATCAGCAGTTATTGCGAAAAACATAAAAAAGTTCACAAAATAGTTTTGAAATACCGGTATTTGAAATTACTTAAGATAGTTATCTTAATATTCAGATTAAGATAGATCATATAAATATCTTAAAGATATCAAAAAGTCAGTGTGTTAATAATTTTACACCAAAAATTGCACATACAGAAATTTCTTTCGAAGCCACTTTGGTCACAGTAGACTGAAAAGAAGTCACAGGTCTACCAGATGAATACGGTGGTTAAATAAAATTAATTACGATTCGAATCATTGTCGAATAGCTATTATCTCTGAATATGGTCCTCACCTATTATTAGCTATTGACAAACACTTAAAAGATATTTTCTTACCCGCCGTCATCTCTTCATATAGCCCCAAGCAATTATTAGCTATTGGCGTACATTAAAAATATGCTGTTTTTCCTGTTCTGAACTTTTGATCTGATCCCCAGCAACTATTAGCTTTTTGTACGCATTAAAATATTGCTGCTTGACACATATAAAAAAGGGACGATCTACATTTTGACCTATCTTGAGAGAAACATGCTCTATTTCATTGGACATATAACGTCCAATTTCTAAAACAAATCTGTTGTTCTTACTCAAGCCAGAGACCCGTTGAGTGATGTGTTATTGGTTTTTAAATTGAAGATGTGGCGTAATATGGAACCAAGGTGGAAGCAGTATATCTATACGTACATTAAGAGACACCAACCTTGTTCCAACTATAGTCAAGTTTTTACTATTTGTAAATAGTAAAAATATCTAGAACTTCTGAAAGCTTTCTAAATTCGAATTTTTTTTAATTTTCATTAATTAAAATAATATAAAAAGTGGGGGCAAATATATTATTATGTGTAACATATTATTATCTAAGAAGTCTTTTAGGCAATTTTGTATCTTAATTATTTTTCTGAATGTAAGACGTGATAATATGTGAGTTTTACTCAATCATACGCAGTCAATATAAAGCTTTTATTATCATTTGTTAACATAACATTTTTTATAGTCTCAAAACTTCATTAAACAAAACTGTAAAAAAATGATGTTTATAAGATACATTAGACTGTTATATATGTATGTTTTTACTCTTTCTTAAACATACATTTGTAGGAGAAAAATTTATAATAATTTAAAACAATTTCAACTGATTGACCTCTCTTGCACTTTACAATATCTAAAAGTTATACCAGAATTTGTTGCAAGTGACTGCACAGCTCTGGCATTCATATGCATGAAGAACTCTCAAGTGGGCTACTTAGAGTCCATATGTATTGAAGTAGTCACTGTCGTACACTCTTGATTTGTGACTTTACCACGACTTCTTTATTAATTACACTCATGTAATTTAAATTAATAACAAAAATAATTTGACTGAGCTACTGATACACAAAAACAAATTTCCTCCTCACTTTTGTTTTATAAAATTTTTTCTAATTGGTTTATTAATTTTATGATTATGTATATATAAATTTGACTCAAGCCGGAAATGTTTGTTATTCATTAAAGAGAAACAGTCTACTTTAAACACTTTTATTTGTGGTTATTTAAATTAATTAAGCAATAAGCTCAATATTGAGAAATGGCAGTTATCAAAGAAAAGAAAAATATATTATAGCTTCTGTACACATAAACATAAAAGGCGTTGACTAAATTTATTAGCAAATTCTAATTGCTTGTGACATTTTGGTAATTATTATTAATTAGACTGTTTAGACTAAAGAAATTTATTTCAGAAAAAAAACTAGTGTACTCTACATACCTATTACCTCTTTTTATGTATGTTAAGTAGTTAATATGTAGTATTAAATAGTGGAGAGTACATAGCTAACATTTTGAGTATATCCTGCATGTACTACAAACAGGAACTCACTACTCCATACACAACACACATGCTTATTTGGACTTTATTCCTTTGTGAAAAGGATTAAGCAAATAATGGTGGAAAGTTTAGTGCGCCTTTCATAATTAAAAAATTATATTTTTACAAAACTTAAATGTGAATGGTACTCAAGTGAACAATTATAAAAGCAGGCCAAAAATTAAAATTTCAAAAATAATTATAAAATTTATAATAAACATCGACTGTAAACAACAATTTCTAGTCTGTGCGCTTATTCCACCTATTTTCTATTAAATCCTTTGACGGAATAAACGTGCCTGGCACTTATACACTGTAAAAATAATTTTATAATTTTATGCAAGCTCTCCTCCACCACATCCACTTAAAGTGAAAATTTCGACGCATAACAAATTTGCTTATAGCAGCAATAGCAGAGTATAACAGCAAAATAGCAGCTTACAATGACCTGGTGTGAGTAGCAAAATACATATTTCCCATGAACGCGCAAACAACTCCCATTAGTTCCCAACACAGTACACTACAGGAAACGGAAGAATTGCGAACGATGTTTACTTTATGTTGCGTAAAACAATGTAAACAATATTGTTTTTACCTAAATTAAGCAATATGGCGTCAAATCAGCTGTTATTATTCGCAGGAGTTGAAGAGGATTTTGCGTATTAAATGCACATATGCTTTTATTGTGTAGTTCGTTCGTTCAGCTGAAATATGTCGAGTTGAATAATAAAAACTGGTTATTTGTCACACTTTTCAAGCACCCTAGAAGCTTTGTTTAGCATTTGGGAAAATGTTAAGGGAAAGCAAATTATGTAAGCATAAATTTAAAATTCAATTGGTTTTTTTTTCTGGAATTTCTGAAGTGGGCTTATGATATCAGTTCATTTATAGATTAAATAAACAAGATCTGAGATGTAGCAAGATTTGAGTATAAGCCCATGTCTTAAAAAAGTTAACGAACATTTATAAACAGCAATAAGTTTCATTAAAAGGGATACACTATAGTTTGTTTCGCTTAGCAAATAATTGATTTGCTTATAATTCAATGTAAATTATGGATCACAGTTAAAAATGAAATTAATTCAAAAATAAATAAAGAAGTCATTGTGAAAAATCTGACATAATCTCTTACTTTTGAGACTTGGTTTTATGAACGTTTGGATCTTGTAAGTCCGTAGTAAAATCTAGCAGAACTTAAACTAAGATATGT